TTGCTGTTTTCATAACTTTATGTTGAATCATTTTAGAAACTCAAAGAGGCCATGAACATGTCAATTCATTCGGCAGTTGCGAAAAGGCCAAAAAGTCGTCACAGTTCTTTTGAAGCCACTCTGTTATTCGTAGTTTCCTGCGTATCTGTTATGATATTGATCGCAATCCTTTTCGTTGTGCAACAGAGAGGCAGCAGAAAGCGAAAAGTTGTGGAAAATGCTCCAGTTTGGATACCCCCAACGGAGTTCGAAAGTACGTGTTGTTTAGGGGTCTCACGTACATTGTCGTTCAAAAATCATGTATAATAAATTTAAGATCAAAAGGCTGAAAAATATGCAAAAGAAAAGAATCGCCATCATGTCATCACTTTTGAAAGTGCAAAACGAAGACGTTTGGATCCAGCGGAACTAAAGTTGCTAGAGGAGAAACTGACGCCTAACTTGCCAAGGTAGGGTTTATATGTAGCTTTTGCTATCGTTATCCATGCCTGATCAACCAATCTACGTAGATATTCCAGAGTGCACGTGCAGGCGAAGCCGAAACGGCTAGAACCTCAGCCTTCTCAGCTTCATGTTGAAGCTGCATCAGCCGGGCCTATCTCTTCTATATCGTCTTCTGAAGAGATCAACCAGAAAGGTCCATATGGTCGTACTCCTCTCATGGTGTTGGTGAGGAACACCATGAAAACGGAAGAGCAGATAGTCGAAGAATTGACCAAGTTACACACAGCCGGAGCCGATCTGAATTTGTGCGATGATTGTGAGTTTGACTCCAAAACTTACTCTAGAGTCAAGAGCGTGTAGCGAAATCTGGTGTGAGGGTTGTGATTTTATTAAAATCATCGAACAGGTGTTTCGACTTTTCATCAATCCTTTACACGTCATCTGACTTTTTTCAATCCTTGATAAAAGTTGTCATAGTGAAGATTGGACTTTTTTCCTTCCATGCCTGCAAAGCTGCCCCCCCCTCTGCTTTCAGTGGCTCTGAATGATAGATTCTACCTCACCAAGTTACATGACCAAGAGGCCATTCGGTCGAAGTTGCAAACTGCAACTTTCCTCTGCGATTGTAGAACCGTCTCTACATTTGGGATGCACCAGGGTCTAAAAACTCATTCATTAATAACAAAAGTAATGTGCTGCTTCTGCTGAGTGTCGAAACTCTTCCATTAGCTCGCTTAGCGAACTCTCATAAAATGTTCAGCTAAACGACAATATGAATGTTCCGCACCGCTACCAGAGTTTGAACTTCCCACTCAACAAAGATCAACTGACTCAAATCTCAGAAGGTTCCTCAAATGCTCTCCGATTGAATGCCATGAAGAAATCTTCTAAATCGGAAATCATGTTTAGAGTCGTAGTAAGCATCGAAATTTTGCGAGGTTTTTTTTTGAAAACTTGACCTCTGAGTCAGTTCTTATGACCGAAAGTTTCGAAGTCTCTTATTTTCGTTGATTATTGATTACCCAATTGACTAGGACCTCCGGATTGATAATACTTCTGAAGGTTTGAAGCTCCACCAAAGCTCCGTTTAATCACCTTCTTTTCAGCTGACGACACCGCCCTACACATGGCTGTCTCTTCCGGTCGCGTGGCCGTTGTGCGCAAACTTTTACAACTTGGAGCATCGCCGGTGATCCGAGACCGTACGAATTCTACCTGTCTACATCTTGCTGCTCGTGCTTGCGCTCCAAGTATGGTTGCACTTCTTCTGGAAAACGAAGAAATGCGTGAAGAAGTGCGTTACATGCTTACAAGACAATGAATTACAGCAGCCTCTATATTAAGAGATTGTTCTCCAGGTTGATGCTCTGGACGATGAAAACAGGACGGCGCTTATGCTTGTAGCGATGTATGATATGGTGGACACTAAGATTGCTCAAATGCTATGCGACGCCGGAGCGAAAGTGAATTATGATGGAGACAACGTAAGTAGCTCGTATATGGGTGGAAAGGGTATGGGTAGTTCATACTCATGGTGAGGCTGTAGAGCTATTTGTGGGATGCGAAAGCTATTCCGTCTTTTCAAGAGTGGGCCACGAGAATCGTGAAATGCACTGTATCGTTCTTAGCCACAACATGACCTTAGTTTCACATGTGACTAAACATGAAAAGAGTGGTGCTCTGCTTATGAATGATTTTTGATGGTCATATCAAATTGCACCTCTCATTCTCTGAGACCACTACGATCTTGTTGAACTTTCGCCTGCTTGCCAAATATGCGATTTTATCGAATGAATGGTAAACCCATTTGCTAACACCTGATAACCATGACCGCGCTCTTTGTAGTTGTTATGTCATTGACATCTCCCTGATATCCTGTGATCATATGACGCTCCCAGGTGGTGCAGGCATCGAAGGCACTGCATCTTCAACCATCGGTTGATTGAATCTTCTTTTTCCGGCTTTCGTTTTTCCCAAATACGGCGATTTGGTGTAAAAGTTGTGAAGAGAATGACCAGTTTATATATGGCCGTTCGCAGTACAAGTACATATTAAATCATGAAAAAACGAGGTACGGCCTAAATGTGTGTCTCCAATTCACGTTTGACTGACCCACCAAGTGTTCTAGCTCCACACGAAGACAGAACTAGCGATAAAAATTGCTGTACATGAAAGAGAAAAAGGGTAGCGGAGAGGGTAGAGGAGTGCCAAGTAGACGTTATGTAATGCTTTCGCGGCAGAAAGGCAATTAAGACTGCTTCATAGTGTAGGTAATTAATCAAATGATCTCAGACATACCATACCCGGGACGTGTTCTGTGGTTCAGGAGTACCTTTTATATCAAGCCCTTTCACCTTGAAATTTTCTCATTCCAACTTTCGCTTTTGCTTCTGGGGGATTCTTCTGCATAGCACGTTATCTTATCATTAGGTAACATGAGTTAAAGGCAGCGGTTACGATAAATTCAAGAAGGGTTTAGTGTGACGTGGTGGTGCTCAATGGTACGCCAGCAGCGAAAAAAGCAGAAAAATCCGTCAAGAAAACGCAAAACGGGACCCCCTTTTTGGCCGTTGGTTTTCACTCATGAACAGGTAACAGCTCAGAAAGTGGACGTATGAACGAGTTCACCGCAACGCATTCGCCTTCAAACTACGCCTTAATCGAGTTGCTCATTTGTGCCGCTGCTAGGTCACGCAGCTCGTCCAAGTAAACTTGTTGCGGATCGCTTTTGGGGGCGGAGCGCTTTCGAAGTCCTGCTCAGCAACCAGCGCACCTTTCGTCGTGAAAGCGCCACACCTCGCTTCCCTGGCAGCCAAGTAACTGATTCGTGTGGTGCATATGCTTCCCGATGCGCTCCCTCTTTATCGTAATCGCTTTCTTTAAGTACCAGAACTACATATGATCTCAAAAGATAAGCTATATCAACTTCCACTGAAGCGCCAACGGCCGTGGTTCACTGATACGAATTTGCGATCAACAGGGAGCAGTGTTCCTTTCATTTTGACCATTTTGCTTTTTCTTTCTCACGGCAGTATTTGGTTGCTACCCTGCTTTCAAGTTTCAATGTTACCAGGGTAGCGCAAGTTTGTCCTCAGTGTCTCTTTCTTTAGAGTTTGACGACATGGAGAGGAAGAACAGCACTGCATTTCGCTGCAAAATACAATAACTTCCGAATGGTAGCATTTCTTTTGGAGAAAAATGCAAACAAGGACTGTCAAGATTACGAGGTTGGTTTTGCTGAAGAGTTTTTCACAACGTATTTTTTTACAAGAATACCTTAAACAAAACTTTTTAACCAGGCGGGACTCAAACCCGCACCTCTCATACACCGTGTGGATGCGGTACAAGTCAGGCTTTTGGAAAAAAATTTGATTTAGGGTGAGACCATGCCCCAATAGCGTAACTTGTAGCGCACTTGCCCGGAAAGCGAGAGGTGCGGGTTCTAGTCCCGCCTGGGGCGAAAGTTTTGTTCACAACCCAGCATTCTTGTGAAACATTCGCAAGGCGAACTGCGGCCAAAAACAGCAGTTAACAAACAAAAACAGAACATCTTGTATTCACTGAGATGAACGTTTACGATCGCATGTTTTCAGTGTTGTACTCCGCTGCATTTGGCTGCGTCGGAAGATCATGTGGAACCTGCGAAGGAGCTTCTAAAAGTCGGAGCCAGTGTGATGTTGAGGAATGATAAGGTTAGCTTAATTTGGGTACGAAGGCAGCATGAAATGCTTTCTCTTGATTTGTATCTTCAGTCTCAAACGCCCTACGATACGGCTCTTGTTAACAACAGCAAGGATGTTGCGGCACTGCTCGCTTCCGGTGATAATCTCCGTGTTCAAATTTACTCTAACAACGGAGAAATATTCGCTTCTTCTTCTTCACCTGGCTTCAAGGTAGATTCAGGATTTGTTGAGTTTTGTACTTTTTTCAAAACTCCTGTTTGTTCAGTGTGCGAAAGTATTGATGGCAAGACATATGCGGAACTCTCGTGGTCCTCTCGCCTCACCCAGATCCACACAGTCGACACCAACACGATGCACTGTTGCCTCTCCATACAATAATTCTGGAACACCTCATTCTGTCGCAGCGTTTGGTTCGAATTACTCGTCACCACAGTACCCGAACCCTATAATCAATGTTGTGGAAGCTTCTCTTCCGTCTCCAAACTGTCATCAGTCAACACGGTATACTGTAAATGCCCATAAACCTTTGTGTGGGAGCGTTGCGCCTTCAGTGCGCCTTCAGATGGCGTTGTTGTATCATCTCTTTGCGTCGAAAGGACAAGCGTTTTCTACCTCAAGAGAGAAGACAGTAAGTTACTCACCAGGTGTATAACCTGCTAGAAAGTTTCCCTAACCATTATTTATTTCTAGGTGATTTCCTCTCCAGGATTCTTTGATTCTGGGTTTGGAACTATGACAGACCGCAGTTCTTATGACCGTAGTGGCCCATGGTCTAGCAGTGATGGATTTTCCAGGTCGAATGAACGGATCGAATCGGCCCATGAATGGTTAGCTGACAATGGTGGATACATTGTCTAGCAATTCATCGGCAAACAGTGTTTCAAACAGTTTTTATTCGTAAAATATTGTACATTTGCATGTTCCATCTTTCTTTTCAAGTCTCCTGATCTCTTACCAGTGGATCCAATCACTTATGTCGGTGTGATTTGTATTGTTATTTTGATACTTTAAGCGTATTTCTATTATAGGAATATAATTCAATTTATCCCTGTGATTATTGTATATAGTTTCGTTTAACCACTCATTTATATTGAAATAAAAGTTTTTGAGAGGCTTTCTCGTTTCCTATTTCGATTTCCGATAGCTTGTGTCTGGGTGAGTTTACAGATGTAGAGCATACGTTACGATTTCTAAAAACATTGTCTTGGAAATGATAATGCGTATAAACGGATAAAAGAGTGAGGAGGTATGCGTTGATGGGACTTCGTGATACGCAGTGCGTTCCGTTCCTGTTCAAGGAGGATTCCACAATGAGAGCGAAGGTCGAAGAAGGGGTGGGAGTCATATAGTGGAGAGACGGGGGAACTCTGGGAGTGTGGACCATCGCGCAATTCGCATCGAAGAATATGCCCCGGCGATCTAGCATGGCCTCCCTTTGGCGGAATTGGTCCGGATCGCCTACCGATTCACTCTCCACAGGTGTGTACGTGGTGTGTGATTAGATAGCAGAGAGAGAACATTAGCGTTGAAGAGGGCACAAAGACGAGAGTGGCATCAATGCGGAAACTAACGGACACGAAGGGTCCTATTTTCGCAGGTTTTCTGGCCGTTTCTTCTTTATCGCTGCTTCCTGACCACCTCTACTCTTAAATGCCGTGCGGGCGACGGCACTGTTACTGCACTATCAAAAGTTGGATCTGTAACCATAGCCCTGCGAGGACTGAGTGCTTCAACTTTTTTGGCTTATCGCCACAGTATCAATACCGATTACCGATGCCAGACGAATGAAGTCTCGGTGGGCCTAAGCAAAATAAATGATTATAGGACACACAAGCGCAGATGACAGTCACCGTGCTATATACAGTTTTTTAGAAGTACAACTCTGTCAAACCCGATCATGGCTGTTCTTCTTTCGACGGCGGTATATCAATGACTTGTAGAAGTTTCATTTCGTCTGAGAATGCGTCGAAATCACGCCATCCGTTGTGACGCATCTGTCGTCACAGATGTTCCGTAGGCTGGCTACATATTGACACCATTGCACACTCTTCAGGACAGCTGTTACTGAAACGTTTAGCCGGCGTGTTTTCGCAGGTGCCACGGCGGCATCTCTTTGCAATCGCCTCCCTCCTCACAAAGAAGTGTCCTGCGTGCAACCCTCTGGAACCGGATGAAATGTTGGGTTCAGCTGGGCTTTTACAAGCTTTCCAGCAACTGCGATTTTGTTCTGGCTAAATTGACAACTTCAGTCAACTGTCGCGAGATGTGGCACGTACTCTACATTCATCACAACGAGGAGAAAATGTAGTAATGAGTCACTTACAATGTGCTGATTCGAGGCCTTGTAGTGGTATGGGTGGTATTCGTGGCGACTCTTTAACGGTTCATCGATCTGTCGTCATCATACAGTTTATCGCTCGCCTTCTAAGTGATGAATAAATTCAGGGTTCGAGTTGTTGTCGCTCGATGCAGTATCGAAACGTCCCAAAGCCGCGGCCATATATTGAAAGCCGGCAAGCGATTGTAACAGTTAGTTACTGTCGGAAGATGGATACGGGTCGTAATTGGGGCTTGGAGTCCAGTGCTGTCTATGTTTATATGCTATAACTTGTGAAAAGATTTATCTGGAGCGTCAATGGCCTTCTTTTGAAGCCGCAAAGCCGAAAAGAAACGTCATAGGCTCTATATAAATGACGTTCTTTGAATTGTAGAATGAGTTATATACACTTGATCATTCACCAAGTGATTTCAGGTACGATTATGTTCACTGTAGGGGCTTTTAGAAAATTTGCTCTGCAAACCTTATTTAGAAAATATCGCAGTTTGTTAGTGGGTGTCTCACCAGTGTCAATGGCATTTCGATCTGATTTCGCTCCAGAAGATGCATATCTCGAACGGTTTCTTACCAATGACAATGAGTTCTTCCCTGTTGGCATCGAAACGTTTCACGCGTTGTTTGTTGGCGCTGATGGTTTCAACATTCCCATACATATTTCCCCGCACCACATACGACATGAGCAATCGGTACCGAGACATTCCTAAATCAGCTAAGCTGAACGCGAATCAGAAGAAAATAGGGAATTGAGAACGATTGGCGAACTGAGTCTTCAACATCGTGATGGTTCAGGTGACGCGAAGGCCAGAGTGGAAGATTCTGACGGTGAAAAATCTGTCTCCGCGGCTCGAAAAGAACCTGAAAAGCGGCGGGGCCGGGTCACCGAATAACGCGTCATCAAAGCGTATGGTCGACGGTGGCATGCGGACAGTTTGAGCTGTAGTTGGAACGGATTCACCTCGCTGGCGATTTGCCGACGAGTGAGCAGAAACACTGAAATAGAGGAAGTTGCTGGGGGATTACGTAATTTGTGTTTTTTCTTGGGGGCGGAAGTGGTGTAGTGGCAAGTGGCACGCTTACCACGCGAGCGGTCCGGGGATCAAATCCTGGGTCGTGAGTCGCCCGGGCCAACCAAGCCTTCCATCCCTCCGGGGTCGGTTAATTGGTACCAGACTTGTCTGGGAGGATAAAAACACTGACTTGTACATCGGCTGGCCCCCGCAAGTCATTGTATAGGCCACATCGCATTCAAACGCCACTACGAATGTACAAATGGAAGTAGAATGCGTGCCGCATCCCAAAAAGGGATTGATCAACGGCAAATGCTTTATTTTTTGCTTTATTTTCGTTTGGGCGGAGGTGGTGTACAGATAGAGGGATAAGGGAACACCAAACGCATATTTCTGGGATCAGAATCTGCTGAGGACGGCCAAATATCTGCAGATGGGCGATAACTGAGGGCAAAGCTCTGCTTGGCGATCGCTTGGAAGTGGGTGAACACCACAGTTAAATCTATTATAAAAAATAATGTGAAGGTGAACAGCTCACGAAGTTCTCCGTTAAAAAGCTCCAGCGAGCGAGTGCTCTTATACAGTCTCTTTCAGCTTTGAGGAGGTGACGTACTTGGTCGAATGGGCCCATTTCATTCGTGCCCACCGGGTGCAACACTTATGCGTCCTCTTCCTAATCGGACACTCTCACTGAACGAATCATATTGGGAATTATATTCATTGTATGAGATATTAGGAATTTAGCCTTATTATTCATGAGATAAGGTTTTGTAAATGGTTCACCAGATCCAGTCAGGGATCACAATATTTCGCCCACTACTTTTTTTTCTAAAGTGAAGGCTATTGCTGACACGACATTTACATATCTTGTTTTCCAATGTACACATTGGAGAACAAGATGTATTTCACCCAACTTTTGAATTCCACAAAGGCGTGAGACGTCTTTTTTCTTTCGAAAATTGCTAGTGGCCGGTGGTTTTTATTTGGTAGTGAAGTCTTTGTTTCATTTCCGATTCTACTCGTTCATCTTCACCTCCCGGCGGAACATAGGCCTCAATTTCTAGGACACATCAAGGCTGCACGCCGAGTGGCGGCTATGGTTTGGAACTGCCATTTAGAAAGGCCAAGGGCTGCGCTCTTCGATCTTCTCTGATTCCTCTCTGATGCAGATATGAACCGGTGTATATTGCAATTGCACTCAGCTTCTTTTTGTCAGAGATGAATAGAAGCAAAGCCGGGAAACGTAACAAAAGGACTGCGCTGTTATTGTTCCACGTAACTGCTGTTCATCTAACAAATATTGCGTTATTATATATGCGAGCTGATCGATTTTCCCGTTTTCCCGATTTATCGGATTTCTGGGGATTTTCAAAAAGGCGAAGGAATTTCACCAAAAAGTTGTTCACATAATAGCCGTGCCTATTCTTGACCTTGTGGTTAGTGTGGAGAAGTTGTTGCTGCACTAACATCACTTCAGAGGGTGGTGGACTTTTGTGAGGACTAAAGCCTCTTCAATTCCCTCTACACGAATCTCGTTCGTAATAGAGTAGTTGGATTTTGCGGGTACGGCGCAGTTTTCGGGTATCATATGCTCAACCCTGAATTGGTTTTCAAACAATTTCTTGCCTAAGATACATTATACAATCAGCTGATCGCTGCGACATCTATCAAGTTTGTGTAGTCCGCAATCACGTCCATGGCCCCGCCCACCTCTGTCTGTCCGATATGGACTGCAGTTTCAATAGCATCTTGACGTGCAGACATAGCGCAATCTGGATGTACTATCCTCAAAATCCGATTCCCCTCAGGCCACTCAAGCGCTCCACACCGGTTCAATTTCTTGCAACGTAAAGGCCCTGTAGGAAAGGGAGAATTATATCAATTAGAAAAGCCGAAATTCATGGCAGGGTTATTCAAGATTTTTCTGCAGCTACAAATAGCAGAAGATGTAACACGCGCGTTCAAACGTAAGAACAGTAGTTGGCGAATGCGTGGCGCATCCTCTAGGATGGAATTCAGGAAAATTAGTAAGATGTGCTTCAACTTCTTTCTTATTATCCTTCTTTGCCATATGGACCATGCCTACGAATTTATAAGATGATAATTTCTGTGTTGCAATTTGCATATGTTCAACTTTGCTGCCGAATTCGCCTTTGGCGGCACCGACACCTCGCATTAAGCGTGCAGGTGTCTTTGGATATGTTAATCGTCTTTCATCTCTTTTATCTCAAATGATGTTTATTAAGGAACAACAAACAGCACGCTTACGTTGGACAGGTCACTAGGCGGATTCCTTTCAAGTCGTTC